CGATAGGACGGAGAGTGAACCAACGATGCGTGGTATCAGGAGCATCCACTAAAAATACAATATCTCGTTTGATGATAATGAAAGTAGAAATTGTATAAGTATTCACATTTAATTTGGTAAGTTTGCGGACTATAGAAGTATGTAGTAATTACATTCTTCTCATCCAAGTTGCCAACGAAATCCAGCTCTTCTGAGCAGAGACCGAGAAGCAAATTTGAGCTGAAATAACAACATTATAGCTAACATATCAGCAACCAGATACTAAAAAGACAACAAGATCACTAATTACTAAGATAAAATGAAGTAAGATCAAGAAGCAGAACTTATAGAAAAACTTCTAGAACCAGAAACAAGGGATGCATAACTAAACTGTAGAATGATGCATGTGATGAACATACAAAGTATAAGTGTAAGAGAAATCGAACAGATTTCAGTTGAAATTGCTGTTTTGAAATGCCACTTGATACTAAACATTGACACAACAAAATATAGTAGCATCAATCATGAATCCAGTTACATACAACAAGCAACAACAGAGAGAGAGATTCAGAGAAAAGAGAAAGTACTTGTGCGAGTTGGGACTGAGTCAGCTTCTTCTCTCCCTGGGCTTGCATGATTGCTTTCTTCAATTCAGTAGGCACATGTTCGTCTGATTCCATTCAATACCATACACAGACATGATTTTAAACATAGTAGTAATCAAAACACAAATTGATTTGCGGAAACACAATACTAAAAGCTTCCACATTCCGCTCTTGGCAACCACAATAAACCCATCATTGAATAAAGATTTCCTATCACTACAAATGCAAACCGGATAAAACATGAACATCTCAGGAAGACAGGCATACCCTAAGAATTGCCCTTATTGGAAATGAGAAACTAGTTCACCCAAAAGAATCACAATGGTCCAGAACAGAGAGATAGATACTATCATTTTTATGTACATAGAGAAATCAAATCAATATTTCTTGTGCAAGAGCTTAGTCCAGGGACCTCATCTCTACCATCTCAACATTAACACAACACGAGATTCCAAATACTAAACTAGTTACCAAACAAACAAGTGAAGCAGCGGAAGATTTCAAAATATATTAAGCCTCAAACACCACATTTGAAAGAAAACCAGAAAACTTACCACACAGATTCTCCAATCCAATCTTACCACACATTTTATTTCCATCCAATCCAACAATAAAAGCTCTCCAGATATCCATTGTATCATCAGACTAATGATTTATATATAAACAGTAGCTTTAAACCTTCCTCATCTGGCTCTGTAGCTGCAGCCCTGCAAATTGAATGTTTCACTGTTATATTCCAATTCAATCTTCCCCAGAAATCTTTTTCAGAAAGTTACCCTAACGAAATTTCTCAAATCGAAAAGCTATAATCCGACTAATTAGCTCGAAGAAATTAGAGTAATGAAATCGGACTTACACAAAAATGGAGCACTTAGAAGGAACAAGATGGATTCCGATTCCATGAGAACCAACTTCGTTCTCGAATTTACTAAATTCGTACGAGATAATACCTCTGATTTCCTCTTTAGAACCAGCGTACCAACCATATTTGACATTTGCATCGCCATGGCTTCCGTAAAACGTGACTAGAGAAGATAACACCAGGATTGGATCCAGCGGTAGTCGAAGTCGAAATTGGAGACGCACAGTTGAATCGGAAACATCATCGGAGTTGGATTAGAACCGCTACAGAGACAATCGAAATCGGAGATTAGTCGGAGTTAGATCTGAACAACACTAGAGAAACGATCGAAATCGTGTCGAGATTTCTCTGAGGGCGAAGGTCACTGCTTGACCTCAATTTTCAAAACTTCAAATAACCCCACTATCTAGATGGAGGGTTATAATCATCACCACCAAAATCAAAGCTTTGAGCTTCCACAAACGCTTCCACATCCTTCAACCTTGTTTAATATCCAGAAAACGTACTTTTCACCATTTTAAAACCCTCTTCCATGGTTTGATTCATCTTGACCATTCCTTCTTGTATGGAAAGCAACACTTTCNTNAT